AAAAAAAAGGACATTGAAATGGACACAGATCTACCATAACCAATATTTTACTCATATTTTAACACCTTACTTATCTTATTTAGCTAACTCTTCCAGAACAAAAGCATTTAGATGTAGTAGCCCCTATTTTTAATTCTCTCAGTAATAATTCTAATTCTTAAAATCACAGTAACACAGACCTTGCCAAATAACCATATTCTATATTAGTAAATTCAGCTTTAAAACTATAATAAAACAAAAGGAAGTTTCTTAGCACTAACTTTTCTGATAATAATAGCTGTCTTTTTAGTTTCTCACTTACTTCAGGCCATAAATCTAATTCGCTCCACCCACCCACTTCCTTAGTTTCTTTCATTAGACATTTTTTGTTGTTGGAGAATCATCAAACGAGTAAGTCAATCTGTACAGAGAGAGCATCATTAGAAAGAACTAAAGCATATGTATTCCACGTTGCTGCTTAAAAACAATCATTATTTTAAAAACAGCTTTCTTATTACAAAACTCATGCTTAGAAATCACAGAGAAGAGAAGCAAATAAATGAATTGTAGCCAGAATCTCAACACTCTAAAATAAACACAGTTAATTTTTTTTTTTTTGAAACAGAGTCTCTCTTCGTCACCTGGGTAGAGTGCAGGGGCGTCATCATAGCTCACTACAGCCCCAAACTCCTGGGCTGAAGTGATCTTCCTGCCTCAGCCTCCCAAGTAGCTGGGACCACAGGCATATGCCACCATGCCCTGCTAATTTTTTCTATTTTTTAGTAGAGCCAGGGTCTCACTCTTGCTCAGGCTGGTCTTGAACTCCTGACTTCAAGTGATCCTCCCACCTTAGCCCACCAGAGTATTAGGATTATAGGCGTGAGCCACTACGCCCACCGATGGTTAACATTTTAATGGACAACCAGCCGTTTTGGATTGATTTGATTTTTACTTAATATGTCCAAATTTACTTTTACATGTCATTAAGTATTATTCTACATTACTTTTAAATACTTAAAATATACCAGTGCACAGATATACCAAAATATTAAAAATTATTATAGCAATATTTATTTTGGGAAACTTTGTGTTTTTTTATTTTTCACTATTACAAACAATACCATGATAAACACATTTTCAGCTACATTTTTATGCACAGCAGTGATAAATTCCTAGAGCTATAATTATTGGGCCAAAGGTATCCTAAATTTTTTCATATGTATTGTGAACTGTCATCAAGAAAAGTTCTGTCAATTTACATTTCCAATAGTTCGTGGGAGTAGCTGTTTTCCAATATCTTCTCTATTTCTTACGAGGAAAATCATCTATCATTATCATTTTCTGTGTTTTCAACTACTAGTAAATTTTTTCATATTTTTATTTCTTCTCTGGGGGCTTGCCTATTCATATCCTTTGCTCATTTATCTTTGCAGATATTTGCCTTTTGCTTATTGTATTATTTCCTGACACAATATAATTTTTTTTCTGGTTTGTCACTTGCCTTTTAGTTTTGTATATGGTGGTTTTAATGTATAGTAGTTTTCGTTGCTGCATTTTATTTAACCTACCAATCTTTTGATTCCAAATAAGTTTGCCTATATTCTCTTCTACCATTCATTGTTTCACTGTTATTTTTTATTTTTATTTTTAACCCGGACAGATGGAGAAGGATGTTTCATTGTTTTTATATTTGAATCTCCAATGCATTTGGAATTTACTTTGGCACAAACATAAAATATAGATTTAATTTTACTTTTTTCTCAAATTATTAGCTAGATATTCCAAACATTAAATCTTCTTTCTTAAAAAAAGGAAAAAGTTTTAGTTTTAGTTTCTAATT